CAAGGTCTTTTTCTGTTTCAATTATTTGAGCTACTTATTCCCCATCTTGTATCAATGCATTTGGTTTCTTTTTCCTAGGTGGAGCACTTGGCATTTTTCCCTACTGAATCTCATTCTGTTGCTTTCAGCCCAGTATTGAAGTTTATCAGGATCACCCTGGATCTTCATTCTGCCTTCCAGGGTGTTTGCTATTCCTACCAGTTTTGTATCATCTGCTAATTTTATTATTGTTTGTTATATTCCTCATCCAAATCATTAATAAAGATGTTGAAGAGCACTGGACCTAGACCTGAACCCTGCAAAGCCCCACTAGTTACCTTCCTCCAGCTTAAGAAGGTGCCATTGGTGAACACGCTTTGTGTTCAATTTAACAGCCAGTTTTGGATCCACTTAACACTTTTTCTATCTAGTCCACTTTTTGCAAATTTGCTTACCAGGATGTTGTAGGGTGCTAGGTCGAAAGCTTCGTTAAAGTCAAGGTAGGCTGTATCCACAGTGATCTCTCTGTCCATTTGGGAGGTTACCCTGTAAAAAAGTGAGATTAAATCAGTCTTGCAGGATTTATTTTTTATAAATCCATGTTAGTATATTATTATAAGAAACAAAAATCCTCAAAAGCTGCTCTTCTTTGTTGGATATTAACTGTTCAGGGATTTATTTTCCAAAATCATTATTTTCCCCACTATACACACACATGCATACATTCTGGATCATCACTGGGTGATTCTATTTAATTCCTAGAGTAGTCTCACTGAAATCAATGTGGCTTCAGATAATCCTGACTAATATAATTCCCATTGATTACAACAGGTCTACAATATGACCACATCTGAAACCAATCCATTAGGTCATGGTTATGATACCCTGTTTGAACAAACAAACAAAAAATAGCATGTGTATGCCTCTTGGAGAAAGGTAGCCATCTTAGTCTGTCACAGCAAAAACAACAAGGCACATTGTGGCACTATGAAGATCAACCAATTGGTTGTGGCACAAACATTTGTGAACTACAGTCACTCTACATTGACAGGTAGAGTGTTGGCATAGGCATCCCCACCCCCCCGGGTGTCATTCTGGGTTGTTTTGCTCCATCTAAGTTGCCCATGTCTGAGGGTAAGTGTAGATTCTCTCTCTAAAGCATGGCAAGATAACTATACCACTTCTGAACAGCATGTTAAGTGAATACACACCAGTAAGAGCATGATTAAGTCCTTCTAAAGCATGTGTTAAATGTTTTTTGTTGAACCTATATGAGTGTCTGTATGGCCCTCATTACAGTTCAAGTGAGATACTATTTCATTTCCTACTGACAGAATCAGATGCTACAAGAGATACTTTAGAAGATATATTAGACCATAGAAGACTATTCCCTATCCCTTGTCAAGTTGTTCCCTCCAGTGTATTAGCAAGTTCTCTATTTAGTCTGGTTTTAAATGACTCAAGCTTTGGCAAGTGTATGACTTTGGGAGTATTTCATAAATCTTTTGGTTTGTTTAGCCCAATAAAATAGATATAGTCAAACACTGAGAAGATGTAACACTGTTAATTCTTAATACCCTGATGATGGCTGTTTATCATATGTCTATGCTCTAGCTTAATGATCCTATCCAAGAAGCAATAATAAGCAGCTTGACTTTGATTAATGTTCACCATTATTTCCTAATAGCCACACAAAGTTGCATTTTAAAGCTAAATATTGTCTTCCCTTAAATTAGCGCATTTTTAATTAGACAGATAACTTCTGTCATGTCTATTTATGCTGTCATTTAAATTAGATTGCTAATCCTAAATACACTCAGATGTGCTTGCAAGTTCTATGAAAAACTGACTGAAAATTTATAGAGTGAATGTGGTTTTTAGCCTTGTCACAAAGAAAGAAAGAGAGAGAGAGAGAGAGAGAGAGAGAGAGACAGACAGACAGACAGACAGAATGAATGAATAGTTCAAAGGGGCCAATAAGGCTGTCAGGTCCATCCTGCTGCTCCATGCAGGATCCCAAGTTACAGCCTTGCTATCCAGCTGTGACAACCTTTCAAGGACTTGAAGAGTGCTATTATAGATAGCCTTAGTCTTCTCAAGGGTAAAAAATGTTCCCAGGAAAGTGTTTCATTAATCTTAAAACAAGGATCCTCTTATGAAATCTGCATCTTTGGACTGTAATTTCCTAACCTTTCTTTAGACTTTTCTTCTTAAGGTGAGTTTTCTGAATTTTTCCTGTACACTGCCTATTTTCTTTAGGGTTCTTGATAGCCACTCAATAGGTGAATTATAAAGTTTGATGGCAGCAGAAAATCAAGTACAAAGTATGGCATTTCTGCATTCCTGTGGTTCCACGGCTGTAGAGTGCACCACACTTTTTAACGAAACAGTCAAGCCAAGATGTCAGGAAAACTCTTTAAAATGCTGATTCCTTCAAAATGGTTGAAAGTTGCATCAGTTAGTTGGATGACTGATTTTGAGTGGAAAAGATGAGAACTACTAGGAACTACTTTTTCTGTATAATATTTTGCAATCACAATATAAAAAGGAACAATAATATACCTTAATAATAATTGCTAATCATTGTAAATAATACACATTAACATTCCAACTTATATACACAAATTAGAACAATGCAAAGCCAAATGATTTATGCAAAAGAAATTACTTACTTTCTGTTTTCATAATGAGCACCCTTGGGCATTGGACAAAATGCATGTCTCCTCATGTTGACCTGAAAATAGAGCACCTTTTTCACTTACCTGTACCCACTTATCCTATATCCAGTTATTTGTGTGTAAGCCCCATTAAACTTGAGTTGAATTTACTTCTGAGTAAACATGCATAGTATTGTGCTGTTAGTTTTATTGGCTTTTGGAATAGTTTGCAGTGCAGAAGTCAATAGAAAAGCAATGGGGTAATGCAAAGCTGACTTTGCACTCTTCTTTTCAAGCTCCTCTTAATTAGTTTACTGTACTTCATAATTAACCTTCTTTCATGTTTCAAGACTTTTTTACTTCTTGCTATTCCTATATGTAATGTAATTAGCTGTTGCTAATATTTTAAGTAGAGGAGAGCCTAGTTTCCACAAAATATGATTATTTTTGCATATCGGCTGGTTGTTTAAATTCTCAAGATTCAACAACTTAATGCTAAACTGGACTTCTGCCCGTTTCCAGGGGTTAAGGAATTAAAATCCATATGCCATTCTGCTTGGTAGGCAACTATTTATCCAATGACTTTGGGATTCCTTTCTTTCTTTTCTTTCTGATCTCTGTCCTTTGGCAGCCTTAGGCCTTACTGTTTGTAAATTCACACCACAGCTGTCTGATCCTGCAGCACTAATATGCCATTTTAGAAATGGCTGCTTTTTAAGCACGTATAAGTTACTTATTATTTAAGGCCACTAATGTAACCCATAGCGTAGAGAAAGGCACTGCCTGCTGGTCTAGCCCAAGGCCACCTTTTGGACCTACTCTCACACTTCCTCAGTGGCAAGATAAATTGTCCCTTCCAAGAGATTATCCAGCCACTACCTTGCAGGATGGAAGACAAAGAAACGCCACCATTATTACTGTCTTGCTGTCCAGCAGATCTGCTGCTTATTTCCTTCTCCTTGCTTATTGCAATAGGCTGTTCTAAGGAAGAAACCAATAGAAGTGAGGCAGTGGAGTACTTCCTCCTTACTGGGTCTAATTCTTGCTCTGATCTATCATCCCCAAGTCTTCAGACAGGATAAATGGGATAGGGAGACTATGGGGAGGGGAGATGTGTAGCTGAGAAGGAATAAGCACAACTGAGTTCAACAGAAGCTTGATCCTAGATAACTGTGAATAATATAGCAAAACCTGACCAACTAGTTATTTGGGGTGAAGAAGGTCTAATGTCACAATGATCTTGGGCACTTCAAAATTTGCCACTCTAACATTGTTTATTGTTGAGGAAAGGACACACTTCACATGCCCAGTGGAATTTTCCTTTTAATCTATCTACAGGTACAAAGAAAGTCATGATATAAGATATCACACATGATGTAGGATTAATAGAGAAACTTTTTAAAAAATCAGAAAACTCTTCTGAGACATTGGCTACAGCTTTCCTTTTCTGTTCCAAAGAGTAGCAGGTTGAAATAAAATCATTACTAGTGTAGCCTGCAAGAGTGCAGTCCTCGAACAAGAGATGCCAGTTGCTAATGATGATGCAGTTTTTGTTGGTGTAATTTGCTGCTGTCATTGTAGTTAATGAAACCTACTGGAATTGTCCACTGATAATTGCAAAAATGTGCAATTATTGCTGTCGTGTGAGTCCCTAAGAATGAATAATTGTGTTTGAAACTCCGTCCTTGCAAATATTTGCAAAACTTCTAGTCACTTCTGTAAACTGCTGTAGAGATTAAGTGGATGTACTCTCCTTAGAGGGGAGATTGTTACCATGTAAAGGATAATTTATCACTGCATTCATTTCAACATGATTTTAAGCTTTAAGGAGTCCACATCTGTTTAACTTTTTTCTACCTAATCAACAGCATCTTGTTCCTGTGCACTCAGGTGTCCGACATTGAGGCCTTGGCACTTCCAAAAATAACTTGAAATGAGTGGGATTCCTCATTTCTGGAATGAGACAAGTCAGGGGCAACCACAGAAGGGAGTCACACTGCCTGGTCCCATTGGAAGCATGTGCTTCTGCCTGTTTCTGGGGCTACTTTTCAAAGTGCCAAAACCCCATTGCACAAGCTATGAGTTCTGCCAGCATGACAGAAATAGCAGAAATGGGTTGGCCCTGCTGGTTACTGGACTTAGTTAAGCTCAGGCATAGAAAAATTATATATGCTGATCTCCAGGTGAATTCCAAAAGCTGACTTCCAACATTTATTAGACAATTGGAGAAAAAAAAAAAAAAAAAGGATACAGAATGAGATTGACCCGAACTGTAACAAGTACATGACCTTCCTCTGGTTTTTCCCAGATTTAGCTACTTAATTTGCATTTCTTATGGCAGTTCTTCTCTGTTTGCTTCTCCAGATGGAATGCCATTTGTTTGGTGGGTTGGTCGTGCCAATGAAAAACATCCCTACTGGGGAGGGTCCCTTCCAGGAGTCCAGCAATGCGCATGTGGATTGGAAGAAAGCTGCTTGGATCTGAGATACTTTTGTAACTGTGATGCAGACAAAGAAGAATGGTAACTATGGAAATTTACCCTAGTTTAAATAATCTACTTAGGAAGATAAAACAACAAGAGGTGCAAGATAATAGGTGACCTAAGCTGCCTGTTTATGGAGGTGGGGAAATCTTGCGTGAACATAGTGGAAGCAAATATGCCATACAGCCTGAAGTACTGGATTCTGCCCAGTCTTGGAAGCTAAGCAGAGTCAGGCCTGGCTGAAATCTGGATGGGTGATTTAAATGTTGTGAACTGGTCAGAGAGATTTGGTTACAGGCAGTATAGAAATGTAATGGCAATGGCAATGACAATGGTAATAAGAAGTATTAAGGAAGCAAATCTGGACTTATATGTGTGCCTCACTATGAGTGCCAGAAAATTCTGGTGCCAGGATTAACTTCAGAGCCAAAACAGGCATTATTTAAATCTGTATTTGGTAGCTACATGATGATCATGATGATTGAAGATGATGCTTGAATACTGCTACTGATAATGCTCTAGAGATTCATTCATTCATTCATTCATTCATTCATTCATTCATTCATTCATTCATTTCTATTCAAAACCACAGCCAAAGCTCTTGGGTGGTTTACGCAATCCATAAAAGCAAATAATAAAAATACAGTAAAATTGGTAGTAGAATAGCTGTGGATCTGGGTGCTAGTTTGGAGCCCCCTACTCTAAAGTTAACATGGAAAAGAAAACCATAGCTCTAGATATGGATTTATAGTAATGTTCCTTTTGGAATTCAGTCAGAGAAATAAATTCTATGGTTTTATGTTCTAGTACTGTGCATCAGATCCTGTATCCCTTTCAGATGCTGTTTAGATTACTATCTGTGTATCTCAGAACAAGAACCAATAATCCTTGATGGTCATCTCTCAAATTCCACAGAAATAAGCCAAGAGCTGAGTGTGAACATCTTCTGCAGAAAAGTGTGCACCTTTTGTTTTTGGAAATTCCCCTGCCTACAATTCAGAATGGTCTTATACATGTCTGAGTGCATATGGATGTCTGTTTTAATACAGCTCTCTACAATAGGTAGCCAATAAGTACAACTGGTTCAGCAAAGCAGGTGTACAAACTATGCATTTAATTATGTACAGTCCATTTACTTACTTAAATAGGATTTCATTTGAGGTTCAGGTAGAAAAAGAGAGTTTAAAAAGAGCACTGGGTATGTAAGACAGGCACCTTCCAATTTTTGCTGCAAAAGAAGTTGCACTCTGAAGACTAAGTTCTCAACTGTTCTTTTTACATCTGACTTATATTACAGAGAAATTATGTTGAGGCAGTATAAATCAGTGGAAAATTTATACATATACATATACATCATATGCAAATAATTTGTTGATATATACCATCAAGTCATCTCCAACTTATGACAGCCCTATGAATGGACATCCTACAAAGTGTCCTCTTCTTGACAGTTTTGCTTAGTGTGTGTCGTGCGTGTGCATGTGCATGTGTGTGTGCATGCATTAGAACTGGAACTGGGAAATGGAGGTGAGACCACATTTAAAATCCTGTTATATAGAATGGTTTCTATATAACTAGAGAGATTTGGCATTTTCATTTCAGAAAAGAAGTGTCTCAGTACTTCTGAGATAGAATCTTTTGAATATTCTAAGCCAGACAGATGTAACTTAAAGGACATGCAAGGACATATCTCTGTCCAGATTATTTAGGTGGATCAGGAATGTCCTTCGCCATTTTCTCAATAATGGCAAGTTCATTCGAAAGAAGGCTTCTGTAATAAGAATGAATTTTATAGCCCTTCTATTGACTTGATGAAATCCACACAGAAAGATTTTAAAACAAGCCACAATAAAGTCATGTTTCACAGCAAATAACTGACTGTTGGATATCACTGAGTATAGTCAAGGCTAACCGCGGTGACTTGATCTGAGTGATGCACCAGTCCACACGGGGACGGTTCTGCCATGCTGGGCACTTGTAGGCACCATTTTTGCATGGCACTCATGGGTCCCACCTTGTCATGGAATGGCATCTTATGGAAAGCCAGGAGGCGGGTGTTGTTTGAGAGTTAGGCAAATTAACCTATGGTGGACCAACAAGACATGTGGATAGGCCCACTGTCTTCACGAACAACGTGGATCAATGGTTAGAAGATAGGAATATTGATTGCTGTTACATTCGGTGGCTAGGGTCATTTGTATAAGTAAATTTCTTCCAAGAGAAAAAAAAGTACCTTACCATGTTAATTTTCCTGGGCACCATAGTGGCATGGGGAGCTCCATAATGCAATTTAAATGCTAATGGTTGTGTGCTTAAAATGCCTTATGTAATTCTTTCATGTGGAAAGTAGTTAAATTCTTAGAATAAGAGCATAGGTTATACTAGCCTTTACAGATAAATTGGCTTTAGATAACTGAGAGAGAACAAATGATTATTTTTGATGTTTAAAAGAGGACATTTATTTATTTATTATGAGATTTATATCCTGCCACTTTAGCCAAAACAGCCAAGAAGGACAAGCACCCACCATCACATGAAACACTCATATCCATTGTCTTTGAGAGCCTAATGTCCAAACCTGAAGACATTCTGGGTGATCAAAAACAAAGATACTTGGTTGATTGCAAAGATAAATCCATGATCTCTGAAAAGACAGGCATTATATTCCACCACAGGTTTTACTAAAGTTTCAGAGTGGGCAATAAATACAAGGAAAAGGAATTGCAGTAATTCAATTGATGGAGAGTTCAGGCCAAAAGTATAAGAGACAAGAGAGGTAGAACAATTGTTCTCAGTAAGGAACCAGTCAAAGTCCTTGATTCTTTATCCAGCAGCAGTTGCCAGTATGGAGTTTTCACATCACAGGATTATCTGGAGGCACAAATATGCTAGGCAGAAGTGTTTTGCAAAGGAAGACCATGGAAGAAGAGGAAATGGAAAGTTCTACGCAAAAGGGCTGCCTGGCACCTGTAAGCTCTCACCTATGTGGATCAGCCTATATAAATAGGGCTGTGGTTGTTAATCTCCCTATTCACTGCCCTATTCTGACAACTGCACCTAACTGCTAGACAATATGCACCCTGGGTGTCCATGGAGCTTCCCTACCGGAGGGAGATCCAGGTTGGATTGTGATGGCGCCAAAGAGTTAAAGCTCTCTTCCGCCAAGCCTGGGCCCTCATCTGTGCCAGTCTCTGCCTTGCAGCAAAGGCTCTTTAAAGCAACACCAGTCATACAATGACTACTCATGTGCATTACAACATGCTCAGGTTGGTTCTAACTGCGAGCAGGACATCGTTTCTAGTTTACAAGCAGTGCCAGACTTCCTGGGAGTAGGGTGAAAATGCAGATTCATGTCCAGCTTCTGAAGAAATATTGCAGGCCCTTTGAGCTGGGAATCCCTAGTCTTCCTACAAGATAGAATTGGTGTTTAGAAGCAGTGTTAATTTATTAGAATTTATCCCATTAGTAACCAGCCTTTTTTCCAGTCAGGTCTCCAAGATGGATCATGGATTAAAGAGATAAGCACTGCTACTCAGTCCTTTCTCACACATTTTGTATTGCTCTCTGCCAGAGGCCCCAGCATGGGCCTACAAGGATTGTTGAGCTAGAAAGATTATTGACCTTTGCTGCTGAGATTATTCAGATGATTTATTAAGCATGTCCTTAATGTTATCTTGCAGCATCACTATTACCTGATTGTCTGCAGTATCTTGCTCGCTGTTCCACCAGCTGAACTTTCTTAAACTTCCTTAGTTATAATTGTTCTTGGAAACTAATTAAGCTACCTTCCATTGCATTAATAATATATACTGTGCTAGTTTCAAACTTTCAAAATCTGGAGTTAGTTTCATTGGCTTCTTTCCCATTTTTATCACTGTAGACATGTGCTGATAGCACATTTTTCTAAAAGTCCAGTATCTATCACAAATTCCATTAAAAATCCATGTCACTGGGTTTACCTACTCTCCAGAGGTTTCATTAACACAAAAGAAGTCATACCAACAGGGTCCTGCCCCACCATTTGTTTGTGAATCAAATGGGAAGACTACATATATTCTAGCTAGGTGAACAACCAGTTTATAATAGTGCAGGATCTTGGATTATAGAAAGATTGCTTTTATTTTCATGAGCATCTATTTATCACTATGCAGAAGCATGAACAATTGTTGCACAAAGTTCTGTCCACCTTCTTACTTGTGATTTCATAACTCTGCTATAGATTATCATATGATCCAATTGCCCAATGAATATCTGAACGAATGGGTCACATTTGAAATATGTGTGAATTACATACAGGCAGCCTAGGGCATTTCTATACCAGAATTGATATCCAAATTATTTCCAGGCAGGGGCATGATACAGCAACCTTGGTGAAGCTAAGCAAGTTTAGGTTTGCTCAGTGCCTGGATGGGAGGGGTGGGAGTCTGCCTGGAAGCCCCATATCTGCTACTCCAGTTCCATCAGGGAAATAAAGCATTCCATACTAATGTTCTGAAATCTTAATCTGAGGCAATGAAAATGATGCAGCCTGCCCCCAAATCTCCTGCTCTCTAAATTATCTAATGTCTCATCCATCCATCCATCCATCCATCCATCCATCCATCCATCCATCCAAGTTTTCTTTTATGAGATAACATTGGTTCTTTTCTATTTCCTTTTCCCTGGTTTGCACCCATTAGGTCCCTAATTCATGGGCAAAATTATGGGCAAATTTATGAGCATTATAACTCATAATAATTCTTCTAGATTCTCAGATGCATCAAAACATGTGTGTGTGTTCTAAACCTTCACTAGAATGTCATGTGCAGTTTTAAACTTTGCATATCCTGATCCAAATGCCAGATTAGAGATATGCGGAGTTATGGCAGATTATATGTGATGACATTATATATAAGGTTCTCTAAGGATCTTTCAACATAAATATTTTATTGTATAATAAACCTGCATTTGTTTCTTGTTTCCATGCCATGCTCTTCACATATTAACTAAAGGCTGCACCTCCATTGTAGGCATATATATTTCTCATACTTGGGAAGCTTGCGTTACATTCAGCAGACTGAGTGTTGCTTCTATATCTTTTATTTTTATGAAATTATTTCTGACAAGTGATATGGCTACCCAGACAATGGCCTTCTGTGTTGACAGTATTTTGATTATAAGCACACACACACAAACATACACAAACACACTCAAATCTGTTTTCATATGTCACCAAACCTAGTAAACAAATTCCAGCCCAGCTCTTCTCAGTATCAAGCTATTATTACTTCATTGAAGGCTTATATTACTGTAACTTATGTAATGTAATTTATTTATTTAAATTCTTTGGAGAGAAGGAGCACTGTACTGCTCGGTGTATGATGCATGAACCTGCATGTACCAGCAAGCAGTTATTTCTCAGACTGGCAAACTACAAAACCACTGTCCCACTGCACTCCTTTCCCACTTGCCATGTGTATGGTATTGCACAAAATTGTTAATGAAAGGGATGCTCACAAGCAATGTGCAAAGAATAAAATGCAATTGGGCCATGCTCCAATTGATTTCACAGAAAGGTCCTACATCAGCGATCTTCAAAATTGAACTAATCTCTTTGGCTACCCTTGAAAACCATTTTAAAGTTTCAGCTGGTACAGCACGTTAAAAGCTAGGGTATGAAATGGACTTCATACCAACATCCCAATGTTTCTTTATTAGGACTGTTGAGTTATACTCATATGAAGTAGCATGGGTTGAGTTTTGCATGGATTTTTGACCAATTCTGTGCAGCTACTTTAGTAACAACAAGCATCAAGAAGGCATATGGCATCCCTGCTAAAGTGGCACCCTGTTTCTGGCAATGGGACCAAACTCTCTAGTTCGTCTCTATGCTCAGGGAGTTCCACATATAATGACCACAAACTATTGGATATGCTCCATTTAAGTTACCATAGACTCATCTCTTGACTTACGACTTTACCGATACCTCTTGCAGCAAGGAATTCTTTCTGATTATATCTTGATGCAACATAATGAGTTCTGGCATTGCATTTGTGTCAGGACTTCTATTCCTGTGCACTCCTCTATGGACAAAGTGGCTAATACAAACAAGCTGCAAGACAATTCCCACTCACACACTTTAATCCTATGTGTGAGCAGGCAAATGCCTGCATAACACTACAGAAAGGCATGAAAAGGGGAGAGACAGTGTGAGTACATGTGAAATATCCTTACAACATTTTATTCATTTACTATTTAGCCAGTAGACAGGCATCCCTTGGAGATGTCTCAAAAGATCCAATTGACACAAAATTGACTGTCAGACTTGGGTTCAGCTAGGTTAATCAATATTACATCAGTTTTAAAAGAACATCACTGGCTGGTTTTCACCTCCAGACCTAATTCAAGGCCTTTAAAGCCTTGAACAGTTTGGGACCCACATGTTTGAAGGAGGGAGTGTTTCATCTCAGCTTGCCCATGGGCCAAGTTATACTGTTGGGACCATTGCTGGAGTGCTTCTATCGAAGTGCAGGACTTGCCAATGCAAGAAAAGTCTTTCTTAGTAGTGCCCCATCCATGAAATGCCCTTTTCTGGAGGCTCAACTGTATCAGTATTGCAGTCTTTCTGGTGGCAGGCTATAGTATCTGTCACTCAGGCATTGCAAATGTGCAGACCTTTTTAAGAATTCAGAGCTTTTTGCTGTTGTTTTATTGCTGAATTTTATATTGAGAATTGGTGGATTTTATATCATCTTGGAATTCTAACCAGAAGGAAGAGCAGCATAAAATGCTATAAATAAATAAATGCCTAGTGGCTACATATAGTTTAGATCAATTGAACACACTTGAAGAAATCAAACTGATTGTGCAAGACTTGTTTGGGTTCCAGGATCTTTGTAGAATAGAATAGCAACTGTGATGCCGCAATGGATGACATATCTTGGGAATGCTTTGGGGAAGCTCTTGCTTGGTTTCACAGAAGTTTTGGATGCCATTGATAACATTATCTTTCTGTTTGCCTCTGTGGACATTGGAGCATTGTTTTGCACTGGTTCCACTGCTATCTTCAGGACAGGTCCAGAGAGTAGTGTTGGGGGTTATATGTTGGCCCCATGGCAGTCTTAGTTTCCACTTTAGAGGTACTTGTGGTGCATCACCATAGATGGAGACCCAAATGATCTGTTGCTAGGAATGCCTCTGCAAAGCTGAGCCTGGTATGCCATTCCTCGGACGACTAGCTAGCCACAGGGATCCTTGCAGTAATATCAAGATTAGATTACCTTAATGCACTTGCTGCCCTTACAGCAATTTTGGAAGCAGAATGCAATGGCAAGATTACTGACTAGGGTGTCTTAGCACACTGTGCTAAAGGATCTCTCTTGCCTGCCAGTTTGCTGCCAAACTAGGCTTAAGGTGATGCTATTAGTATACAAAGCATTTCCATCTCATGTCCAAGAGTTTTCTAGGAATATCTCCCCCCATCCCAACCCCCTACCTTTTTACTTTCTGATCATTTTAATGTTTAACTGATTTCAACTTCAATTTTATTATCTCAGACAGTTGGATGCTGCAGTGCTTTGCTTTATTCCATTCATTTTTAGTGTAATCCATCCCAAGACGCTAGTGGTGGATGGGTTAGAAAAGTTTTTAATAATTAAATAAACTAGGCCAGTGGTGGCAAACCTATGGCACATGTGCCACAACGGGCACACAGAGCCCTCTCTGTCGGCACGCAAGCCAAGTTGCCCCAACATCACCCCAGCAGCCGAGCATCAGATAACAGTGCACATAGGGGCCATGCGCATGCTCGGAAAAGAGTAGTGGCACCAGGCAATGATGTCACGAGCCGTGACTCATTAGCCGCGACTCATCTCAGCTTTCGCATGGCCGGTCAGTGCACTGCCAAGGATACATACACACACACACACACACACACACACACACACACACAGTGGTACCTTGGCTCACGAACTTAATCCGTTCCAGGACTCTGGTCATGACCCAAATTGGTCATGAGCCAAGTCAGATTTCCCCATAAGATTCAATGTAAATAAGGTTAGTCCATTCTGTCACTATTTTTTTAATTAGAAAAATGTGAAGCAAAGTGACAAAGAACAACAAAGAACGCGGCCGTCTTCCCGCCCCCCCCCCCAGCATGACCACGATTGTGCCCATCATCCCTGCAAACACGCGCCTTCCCGGCATGCTGGGGGGAGAGAGTCATTGTGAACATGGGTGAGCTGGGAGGAGAGTGGATGTGATCGTGCTGGCGGGGAGGGGAGATGGCACAGAACGCGGTTGTGGTCCTGCAGGAAAGATGGGTGCAATCTCAGCCATCTCCCCCCCACCCCCAGCACGATCATGGCCAACTCCCCACTCGGGGTGGGGGGTGGGGAGATTGCCACTGAATGCAGAGTTCTCAACCTGAGTCAAAATTTTTATGAATTTTTTGTTCACAACCCGATTTGATCGTGAACTGAGGCATTCGTGAGCTGAGGTACCACTGTATATATATTTTTTCTTGGACTGGCTGTGAATTGCTTTTTTTCTAAACTAAAACCTCATTATTCAGGTTTTATTGCAGTGTTGGCACTTTGCAATAAATAAGTAGTTTTTGGGTTGCAGTTTGGACACTTGGTCTCTAAAAGGTTCGCCATCACTGCCCTAGGCCATTGTGGTCTCCAAGAGAGATGCCCTGTTGTCCATGCTGTAGGCTATGGATTTCCATTTGGTGACAACAGGGTGACAGGTCTCCTTACTGGGGCACCCATCCTGTGGAATAATGTTCCCTTGAAGTATACCCAGCCTCAATCACTCAACTTCAGCTTTACCCAGTCATGAGCCGTCTTGGTACCAGCCTCATGGTACTACTGTTCATATATCTGTGTGCTCTTGCTGGCTTTGTTGCTGTTTGTTTTCAATCATTTGCAAAACTGCTTCAGGATTTGTTTCAAATGAGAAGTAGTATATAAACATTGCTTTTAAATACATAAAAGAGGATTTCAATTCTTATTCATATTCATTTCACATGTGTGTGTGCTCTTATCCAGGGCCAATGATACTGGCTTCCTTTCCTTCAAAGAACACTTGCCTGTGAACCAGATAGTCATTACAGACACCAGCAGACCCAATTCTGAAGCTGCCTGGAGAATTGGTCCTTTGCGTTGCTATGGAGATAGTGAGTATCAGCTCCTTTCAATATCCTTATGCACAGGCTGATAAAGAAGTCTCTCTCTGTGTGTATATATATATGCATATGCGTACACACACACACACACACACACACACACACACACACACAGAGAGAGAGAGAGAGAGAGAGAGAGAGAGAGAGAGAGAGAGAGAGAGATTCAATACACAAAAGCTCTATGGCTTTTAAAAGAAAAGAAAAAATAGTTAAGTCCTTATAGGTTTTAAACAAGCACCAAAAGGAAGGGGAATTGTAAGCTAAGACTCACAAGACTTAAGCTGGAATCTGCCCTGAGGAAACAAAGTAAAAGTACAATTTTCATTTTCCTAAAACAGATGCACCATGTGGACAGCATAAAAAGATATGATATGCAGAGGTGATTGTGAGACTGTGGAAAACTTATGAAGAATATCTTAGGACCCCTTTCTTCTCAATCCAGTATCTACTTTCCTGGAAGCAACTAGGACTTGCTTCTGAGCAGCCATATCTAGGACTGCTTGGTTAATCCTATTCCACGATCACCCTTGTCCACCAGTGCCAAACAGTTGTTTTGCAGGATGATGGGGAGGGGACTGGATCTGCATGGAAGAGGTTCTCTCATATGCCAGTGTCTGTGTCAAGTTGTCTACCTCCCCACTGGTCTGCCAGGTAGCAGTTTGGCGGCAGGGGGCGGGGGGGAGCATCCTGATTCTTCTAGGAAACAGGATAGTCTGAGCAAAGAATGTCCTTTTACTTTCTCATCTGAATTCTCAGGAATAAAAAAAACCTGTGTGTCCATAATAATCACAACTGAAGTTCAGATCTGGGTGGATTTGAGATACCTGCTGAGATCTCAAAGGTCAGCTATGCTTGCTGCCACTGCGTTTGCTTTATAAACTGCACCTTGGCATATTTAGAGGTGCCCAGTGAGCAGAAAATACAACTGCCTCTTCAAAACGCAAACCAAAATAAGACAAAGCAAAACTCCTGCCAAACCATCACTTTCCTGACTTTTTTACTTCTGATGGATATGCAGAAGACTGATTTTATTTTTGTTGTATGTTTATTATTTCTTTAGTTCTTTATCTGTGTAGTCTGCATTCACCATAAACTCTCCTCTGTTATGCTTAAGACTTTATGAATGGAGTTGGGGAAGTTGCTTTTTCACATTTAACCGAACAACACAGTTACTTTTTTTCTAATTTTTAAGCCCTGGACCCCCACTGTTTCTAAACCAGGGCCAGTGGGGAGGGAAGCAAAAGGAAGCTGGCAGAAAAGGAAAAACTGAATAGAACTCTGTTAGTTGATGTGGCAACAAATGACTTAGTATTGACTCTTTTCTCAGCTGTTTCTGGCTCTGGCCTAGAAGTTTCCTTGTGTGTCTATAGTGATAGAACTACAAAGTTAATATATGATGATCCTAGGCCCTAGCCTCTATAAGCACATTCTCACAAGATAGAAAATCAGTTGAATACGTTTTATAGACATCATAGATTTAATCCTCTGATTTTACTTTATCAGTACTCAACAGTCCTGAAAAAGGAAACCAGTTATTTGTTGCTGTTTTGCTTTTTCAGAACTAGCATTACTTCTGAGTAAGTCCCATTAAATACCATGGATTTCCTTCTATGGACATATGAATGGCTTCAACCACAGGCAATGCACATTTCAGTAGAACTTGTGGGTTATGGTTTGACAGCGTCCAGGAAGCTACTTATCCTGTGCCCCTGGATATGTCCAACAAACAACCAGGCACAGTAGAATGAGACACCTCTGCCCTACTCAGTCCTCCTGCAGAAGTAACCCAGGGACACTCTGGGGACCATGAGTGGAGAGGGGGGCAGGGATCATTACATCCCTCACTGGGACTTCCAAGTAGACTTTGTGAGCTGTGCTGAGGACTGGCAGCTCTGCGGTCTCCTCAGGTAGCCTTGGCCAAAATCCACAGCAGCATGATCCCCACCATGCTGTTCCCATCCAATGCCATGGCTGTTTAGCATCCTCTAGAAGAGTCCAGGCAGAGCATACTCCCCCCCCCCAAATGATGGTTTGATCCTTAAGGCAGGTGTGCAGCTTGAGCTGGACCTTGGGACCGAAGTCTGTGGAAGGGGCAAAAGAGCACCCAAAGAATGGTGGGTGATCGGAGCAGCAGCAAGCAGGGCCACTGTCAGTGCTGGTACAGACATCCTAGGGCATAGTGAAATGGATGCTGGTCAGCTGTGCAACCTTTATTCCATCTAAAAATAAATAAATCGGGGTTATACAGATGCCCCTTTCACTTTAAATGTATATATTATTTTCTGCAAGGAAATGGTGTTCATTGCCAAGTTTAGTTCAAGGCAACAGAAGCAAATTCCATAATATTGCAATAGTCATGAATGGTGTTATGAAGTAAGTGAGCTTAAAATGTAAGAGTCTACTTGCTCAGTTTTTTGTTTGTTTCATCAGGTTAGCAAAGTGTTCTTACTGTTCTTGCTTGGGGAAGAAGATAAATCTTAGTTGTGGTGCTTAAGTATTGAAGAAATGCATATGACTGTCTAAAGAGGGATAATATAAGATCATGAAGTCCAGGTATAAAATTACTTAGCTATACCACTGACCAGAGGCATAGATAGCTAGGTTTATGGTGGGCAGGTAGACGGAACGCTAAGTTGCCTGCCTGGTACAAAATTAGTAGAACAGTGTGTGAGTGTGTGTGTTTGTGTCCATGTGTGGGCATGTTTTTGACCAATGATTTCCTCCCAATGTTCTCATTTGAAGACCCACTAAAAGGATGTGCTTTTGCGGTTGTGCTCACTACCTGCTTATGATTAACTATAGAGAAGGCTGTTACTATTTGCAGGACAGTTCTGGAATGCAGCTTCTTTCAACACCGAGGCCTCGTTCCTTCTTTTCCCCACCTTCCATGCAGAGTTCACTGCAGATATTTCTTTCTTCTTCAAAACAACAGCCACGTCTGGAGTCTTCTTGGAAAATCTGGGAATGAGAGACTTCATTCGACTTGAAATACACTGTGAGTGCACACAGTAGACAGTCCGTGCATTGTTCATTCTGTGGTTCTCGGCAAGATTGGGTTGGAGATGCACGAATTGGGAATGATTCAAAATATGCAATATGCAGCACCAAAACAGACATGCTCCTTGTGAACTAGGGTTCCACTTGTTGTAGAAATTTTAACATCTTTCTACCCACAGGAAAAAAGGAAGATTAGTGTGGACAGGGGCAAGCATCTCTTAGCAGAACGCTCTATGTGGAAAAAAAACTCCCTGTGTTTATATTCTCTCTCTCTCTCCCTCTCTCCCTCTCTCTCTCTCTCTCTCTCTCTCTCTCTCTCTCTCTCTGGGTGGGTTTGCACAATATGAAAAGCAATGATTTTTCCTTTTCCTTTTTTTGGTCTGTTGGATCACATCAACCTCATTGTGGCATTTTCATGTGGTATATCCAGTTTTCAGAAACAATGAGCAGAAACAATGGCTTGTTCTGTGGTTCCTTAGTACCACAATTGCTTGTTGTGTTGTTCAAAACAGAAACCACAACTCAGCACAGCACTGACACCCGAACCATAGAGCTGCTTGGCAAGAGCGTCCCATTGCTCCTCTTGCCTAGGGGCTAACCAGAGTGTGCCACTGAAAGCAGCTGTTTGGTTCAGCTGTCATGGGAGCCCCTGTTCCTCCTGCCTCCTGCCCTGAAGATCTTCTTGTAGGCCAGAACATGCAATCATCTGGTCAGCTCCGGGAGAACTGCGGTGCCACTGCATTGATTGCCCTGCTGCCACTCCTGCTGGAGGAGGTGTCATCTTGGGTGAGCAGCAGGACGAGCAGCAGCTGGGGGCCAGTGGTGGCAGTGCCTGGTTGGCGCTGAGCTTGGCAGTAGCTTCTCCTGCACTGCCCCTTTGTATGCACCAGAGGGAAGCGCCTTGTGCTGCTTCCTGTGAGTCAGTGGTGGGGATGAGAAGTGGTTGGGTGGCACTCCAGAAAGGAGCAGTACCACTCCATGGACTCCCCCTCATGAGCGAAGTGCGGTGGCAAGGACCAGAGGTTAGACGCAAGAGCAGGGGAGGGGTGCCCGGTGTGGAGTTGCGGATTCCCACACCACTCTCCTTTCTTGCTCTGGCCTGCCAAAGAAGCATCTCCAACCCAAACCCCACTTCGGTCTGAGCAGTGGGGGACCAGAGCCACCATCCCCCCATCGCCTCTGCCCAGAAGCTTCTTTCTCCCACCACTGTCTCATTCATTTATGCAAGGAGTGGCAACAGTAGCAGAACATCCATTTCAATTCCAGGGTGTAGCACAGCAAAATGAGGAAAATACCAGGGGGCATGTGTGAATATGTATTTCTGCAGGACCCTGTATGTACAAGTGCACTTCCATGGACAAGTGCATCTGTGGAGGCAAAGTAAACTGGTCAAAGAGAGACATTCCTCTTACTCCACTTATTCCAGATGTAGTTGCTCCATACTTCCTGTGCCACAATTCTACCAGCTGCAGTAGTCGTAAAGGACTGGGAGGAAGGCATGTCAGACGTGGTGTCAGGAGCAGTGATAGTCAATGAACATATGGCAGTAGTGGCAGGCAGGGTATGGTTTCTCAGGAACAGTATTCTGTAGCTCTTTAGAAGAACTGCATGTGAAGTGACAGGTTATTCTGTAGGGGTAGTGATGATGCTGAGTTCTCTCTCTCTCTCTGTCTCTCTGTGTATACAATGCTTCAAACCTACACAGGGAAGAGAAAATAGTGTTATTGAGTAGAGTGCTAGCTCTGCTGTGTTATTGCCTACGGAAGGTGAAGAAATAAGCAATGGATTCAAATGAGCTCAAATTTGTAGAAATCTGTAGTTTCTGTGGCAGACTAGCATTTCCTGAGTTGCATGAATTCCTCAGACTTTTGGACCATACGTTTTGTTTGTGTGTTTACTTTGGAGGGAATTGGACAAATGTGCATCTGCACAAATGCACACTTGCAAATGAATGATATTCTCACCCCAAAATCCATTTCCAGCAATGAGCAGATGACTTAACACAAGATACCTGACAATCCACCACGAACAAAATGGATTTAACAAAATCCACATATCCTTTTTGCTGCCGTTGCCTCTCGTTCGCAGCAGCAGTAGGCAGGATGATTGCTTTCTGTGGATGGTATATGGTATCAGCTACCAATTGCTTGCGTCTCTGATATTAGAAGTTCTTGGCCGATGGTAAATAGTACTTATGCAATATGGCATTTCAAAGTAGTTGGCATGCAAAGGAACAGGGGGAAAGAGAGAGAGATCCAAAGCACGCAGAGGGTCACAGTGTTTCTTTTGCAGCTTGTCAATCACACAGCCTTACCCAGGGACTGAATTGTAATTACTGCCCAGCATATTAAAGAACAAGCTAATTGGTAGTTTTAACTTATCTTTTATTCTGCTGGGTTAGCCTATTAAAGGAGGAGGGATAGTGCTGTGGCTTTGGAGTGAAATAAGGTCCTTCTGTTCCAGATTCCATCAGGCTGAACAAACGTGGAATGAAGTGCCATCATTTTTATAATATGGTTATAATAACTTCAACATAAAATTTAATAAAATAAGGCCCCCAAGGCTCTTTGATTCATTAAACCCATGGTAAATGCTGTGGTGCATTATCACTAGGTAATGAGGTATGGTTTAGTGTTAATTGCACATCAAAGTCCTATTTGGTTGACACTTCTCTATGCTGTATTTCATTCTCTAGGGCCATTTAAAAGGGGGGCTTTGAAATGATGTCAAAATAATGCAATCTATCAAGATGATAGTTTAGCATTCACTTTGATGGAAAAAAAATCAGCTGCTCAAAATGTGGGCTAACTTTTCATTAAAAAGTGAACATCTGATCAGGAGCTGTTTAAGACAAATGAACTTCTGAAGTTAAAAGGCTGTATTTTGAGTTTTTTACTGTATTTTCTACTATAAAAAGTCAGATGCTGTGCATTCAAGTAGGGCATGAACTGATGCAGAACTAGGGATGTCTGCTCATCGAAAGCCAAAACTCTGCTTTCTCTGGAAAGCAAGAGAAAGTTGCAAGATGGTGGTCAGAGCTTTTGTCTTGAAATGTTCCTCTGTCCAACAGTGAGCTTTACTTCTCTGGTTTGGACTTCATTCTTGTGGATTTAGTATTGCCACTGTGCCTGCCTGTAACCTGCTGTTTTTGCCAGCCTAAGACTGGGCTCTTATTAACTCTGTCCTGGATATGATTCTACTCTCAAACAATGTTTATACTCCTGCTTGCTTGTAGCAAAAAGGCCTAGAAATTATGTGATTAAGAACCAGGGTTCACAGGATGCGTTTGGGGCAAGTTAACAAGAATGCAAAACAAATTCTGAGGTGTTTTAACTAAGTCCACTCTATAAGAGAAGAGGTCTTCTTCCTCTTCCTTTTCCTCTTCTTTGTTTAGTTTCTGAGTTATGTTCTGTTGGACTTTTTCTTGTGAAACACATCTTCCCTTAACTTACTTTTGAATATTCTAGCTCAAAAACTCAAGCCTCTATAACTTTCTTCTCTTCTGTTTGTTCAGTTTTTGCAAATTTGGGCTGTGCAAGCTCCAGTTTAGCAGTGATTTAAGCAACATAATAATATGTCTGAATATTGTACTATAATAATCTCACGTCCCATTGAATCAGGAAAGAGAGAATCTCATTGACATTAATTGACATAAGATAAAAATATGAGTGGGGGCTTAAAAACCACAAATGGAGTTTATGTCAATGGCAGATGATGAGCCATATTATCTCCTCATACTCTCTGAAAGCTGTCTAATTTTGGATTTGTTGTCATAAAAGTTTGCTGAGAAATGTTTTCAACAAATTATTCATATCTCTGAAAATATAAGTCACATCTAACTTAGGAATGCATAAAAATTTCATTTCATTTACAAAACAAGGGGCCCTTTTTGAAGCCATAAATGTGATTATGAGTGGAGTATATGTCCACCAAAAATGGTTGTAAATTGCCAGGCTTTTGTGCAAATCTCTCAAATTCTGCACATATTTCTAAATGTAGGCAAATCTTCTGAATGGGGGAAATTTGCATAGATTTTATACATGCTCACTGCTCTATTTGTACAGTTTTGCTGTTCACACACAGTCACAAATGCAAAAAGGAATCAGGCTTAAGATGAGCAGTGAGATGATGCTCAGAGAATCTTAGCAATCTCAAGATTCACTTGATTATCTATCCTCAACCTTAGTTTTGTTTCTGTCCCTCATGCTCCAATAACATTCATATTTGCAAGTCCATGTCATTTCCATGCTTACTTTAAACCTTTAAGGATACGGAAGAGCTAGCATGCCTCCTGAATGTTATTGTGAGCTTCCTAAGTTATGTGGAAGTTTCTTCCCCTCCACACTGCACATCCCATAGAAATATCCCTCAATGTTATTCTACCAGCAAGAATGTTTTCCATAAGTAGTGAATCTGCCAAGGAAAAACAGACGTGGATGAAAAAGTGACCACACACAGCATGTTACAATTTAAAAACAAATGCAGATAATTCACCCTTTAGAAGTTATCTGGTCTGTAAGCAAGGCTTCCTATGGGAGAGTGGAAGTTAACCTTACCAAATGTTGTTTATTGGCTCTTTAAAAATTATGCTCTTCTGTAGATGTAAGTTTTCTTTGTGTCAACATGAGATACTCAAATGCCCTTATTCTTTACAGCCCCTAACATGATTATCTTCACTGTCAATGTTGGAAATGGTCCAGCTGAAGTCACTGTTGAGTCTCCGAAGCCCCTAAATGACAACCAATGGCATTATTTGCATGCTGAACGGAACCTCAAGGAAACCTCTCTCCAGGTGGACAGCCTTCCAAAGAAGATTCTGGAAGCACCTGTTGAAGGACACTTCCGACTGCAGCTGAATAATCCATTATTTGTAGGTAGGGACTGCTGACTAGTTTTTCATTACCATTTCTCTTAAGTAGATGGGCATGCTTTTAATCATGAGATATTTAATGTTTGCTTGTTCTATGCACTAGAAAGGAGGGAATAGATTTCTCCAATTATTATCTGCTCAAGCTTAATAAGAAAGGGTGAGAAGTTTATTACCAGATTTGCACTTCCTGAACCTGCACACAAACTAGAATTAAGTTATATTGTGATATTCACACTTTTCAGAAATTTGCAACCCAGTTACTAAAATAAATGTGCACAAAATGCATACATTACAGAAATTGCTTTATTTTGGGGGAATATTGCTTGCAAAACATGTTCATAATCAGAAGCGTGTGTATATTTTGAGAAATGGACACACAGCTACTTATGGACTTTTTGCAGTCTTTTCTTAGATTTTTGCACCGAAATGAACTGATAGTTGAGTTCTACTATTCTTCAGCAATATGATGGATTTCTAGCTTGGGAAGGAATACAAAGACTAATGTTATCTTGATCTACTCAGGTTTGGAGATGGTAGCAGAAGGTGGCAGCAGACTTTCTTAAATAAGCTCATCTCTTAGGTAAGGTCAGAGCACGTAAAGTTTCTTCTGATAAGGTCTTCGGTAGCAAATTCCTGTTTGATAAAATAACTTCTGAAGACAAAATCAGGACAACATCACTAAGCAGGATCATGATAGGAATGAGTCAATGCTTACTTTCTCTCTTAATTTTGGTTCATCTTGAACTTTGAGAATTTATCTAGTCTTAAGTTATTTTAAAGGTTTGCATGACAATTCATAAACATTATTGTACACATTTTCCTAATATATGATGTTTGTGCTCTTTGCCTTCTATGCCTATTGTCTAAGCATTTTTGTGTTTTATTGAACACAAAACACCTCTGAATATTACTTTCCCCTAAGATATGGATTTTGTATGCATTTTTGATTGGATAACTCCATTGCAGATTTCAGAGAAGTGTGAGAAAGAATTGTATTTCAGGACTCATAATGATTTGGAAAGGCAAAATTGGGTAAGTTCTCATTGAACTGTGAGCTGAAGAATTCATCCACCATCCCTAGATCACATAAGGCAAAGTCAGGTTCAGGAGAGTACAGAACAAATATCAAGATTCCTCCATCCAGGTGAGTTCCACTTTTCCCCTACTGAAGTCAACAGCTATACAGTAATGCCTTGGTTCACAAATGCTTCCGCTCGCAAACAATTCAGTTTGCGAACAGAAAGTCTGGCAGAATTTTGCTTCCGTTTGCAAACTCCGCATCGGGTGACAAACACGATCATGGCCATCTTCCCCACACGAACATGATTGCAGCCATCTTCCCCTCACGAACACAATTGTGGCTATCTTCCACACACTGCAACCATGTGTCAGAGCAAGTTCAAGCAGGGAAGGTGGTCACGATCATGTTCGTGCAGGGAAGATGGCCGTGTTCGTGTTTGCACAAACATGAACACGGCCATCTTGCCCTCTCTGACGTGGTCGCGGCTTTCTCTAGTTGAGATTGCGGTCTCAAACTGTCCCTCCGAACAAGAACCTCCTCCCCACCCACCTTCCTGTCCTCCACGCCAGAAGTCTCCTCAAGCAAGGTTAGTGTTCTCTCTTTTCATACTGTGCTTTGTTTCATATTTTTGTGGTTAAAAAAATTACATATGGTTCAGAATGAAGTAATCTTATTTACATTGAACCTTGTGGGGAAATTTGACTCAGTTCGTGACCAATTTGGTTTGCAACCAGAATAGTGGAACAAATTAAGTTCATGAACCAAGGTACCACTGAACAGTGAAGTAAAGCATTATGAAGTCCTGTCTGACCCTGTTCTGCAGTTGCCCCCTCCAATTCACCTCTATGGCAGGGCTTGTTGTGCGTCTTAATAACACCTTGCATTGTCCTGGAATCACTGGTTTTTGCAATGAGTAGGACCAGGAGGAACTACTGGGGAGCTGTCCAAGTCTGAGTAAGGCACAAGTACTACATCCTCGGGTTAGGAAAGGGCTGGGGATGGGGATCATGATACGTGTGATGGAAGCAGTTCCTGAAATAATTGCTTTCTTCATTTATGCCTATTTGAAAGGGATGTATATGTGTGTGTGTGGGGGGGGATTTCTTGTTTGAAATGTGGGGGCAAATAGAAATAATAGCACTGTCCTACGAATGGGGGTGGATCACATACATCTAGAGTTTCTGCTAGATTAATTTCCCAGAACGGTGTAAAGCAGGAAGTCAAGTTTACTCTGCTGTGAGTTGCCTCATTTCAGTATTTCCTATATATAGAGAGGAGATTGTGTTAAATCTATTCCATGTTTCATGGTTAGTCAGGCGTATATCCTTCCACTTCCCTCTCATTAAGCTGATCAGATTTCACATTGTCCCTATTTGCAAATGTGCGTTTGCACTAATGCATACTTCAACAAGTCCATGGGATCTGTCAAATTCCACAGTAGACCAGAAAAAGCTGTGGAATCTGCAGGCAGATTCATGGAATTTTCAGATTCCTCCAATATCTCCACTTCCACATGGCAGAGAAGATCCAAAATTCTGATACACATTCAAAAGTATTTATCATTCTTATGTCAGAGCTTCCTATTCTGTAATCTGCCATTCTGTAATCCAAATTCTCTTTGGAGCTCACCATGGCAGCCTTTAGTCTAAGGCTCTGAAGGTGGTATCGTTTCAGTATGCTGTACATGCTCAACATCAGTGAAATAGGAAGTTGGCTGAGAAGAAAATAGCGAATGGGAAATGATAATCAGTGAGCCTTTAGACTTTCTGGCTTAAGGTAAACAAATTGTCTTAAGAACAGACAAGCTGCAGTGGTAAGGTAAAAGTATAATGGTTTGGGTTGGATAGTTGATGTCAGGAGCTAGGTTTCTCCCTTTGTACATTCAAAGCAACAGACTGCTCTTTGGCAAAAGCTTTTTATTCTCCAGAGTACATCCAGCAGGCACAATCACCCCAGAATGAATCTCTGGGCATTCATTCATCCATCCATTCATCCATTCATCCATTCATTCATTCATTCATTCATTCATTCATTCGGTTTCTAACCCACCCCATTAGCCACATGACTGCCTGGATGGGTTGTAACAAAAACCATAGAAAAACATTATAAAGCAATTAAAAATCACAATCACTAAAAACAACACTAGAAGAACAATAAAAACACACCCACCAGAACGCCAGATTTCATAAAAGACACATTCCCTTCTGTTAAAATACCATTAAAAACCAGTTACCAGAGGAATGAAAAGGTCTTCATCTGGCACCGAAAAGAGTATGAAGATGGCGCCAGTCAAACTTCGCTGGTGAGGTCATTCCAGTCAGGGTGCCACTCCCAAAAAAGGCCCTTTTTTGTGTCTCCACCCTCCTTATATCCTGAGGAGAGGGCTCCCTCAAGAGGGTCTCAGATTCAGATCTAAAGGGCCAGGTAGGTTCCTATGGGCAAGGCACTCCTTTAGAGAACGAGAGAATGAGTACTGCTGAGAGTGCCCTTTCTGAGAGGGCCCATTTGCAGGCAGGCAAGCCTCTTAGCTGCCTGCTGCCCTTCTAATTCACCTCTTCTGATGCCACGTCATGGGGTCAGGAGTCATACCAAGCTTGTCTGCCTCCTGGAGCTCCTACCCCGCACCCCCTCCCAGCAGTTGTGGATCCAGGCTATTCTCAGAGTCCACCTGAACACCTGGAGGGGGTGACCTTGAGATAAGCCCCCCACCCGCTCCTCCCATCTCGATATCTGAAGGCCTAGTTTCCTGGTGTCCATCTTCCCCAAATCTTCCTGATCTTGAAACTCATGCTGAGCACAATTGCCTCTTTCATTCCCAGCAACTGACAAGCAAGAGAAATATGAAAAGAAGTGGTCGTATTTTCCTAGCATAGGATTTTCCTTTAGCTACATTCCAGAAGATGTGATCCTGTGGGATGTCTACCACTATTAAATAGTTCCATAAGGAAAGGTTGGACAACCAATGTTGGGGATTACATAAGCAGAGCCAGCTGGAGCCAGGGGCAGACTAGATGGCCCAGGAGGTCCCTTCTGACTCGTTTTGTTTCTATGATACAATTATAACACTGACTTGTTCTTCGATCAGCCTTTACCTCAGTCTTGAACTCTGAAATATTTAAACATGTTGTCTTAGCTCTTCTAGTAACGCCATCCTAGAACATCTTGTAATTCTAACTTAAAAGGATCCAGTTACCAAATACAGATGAAGCGAACATAAATTATTTCCATGTCAACAGTGTCAAATCACAAGTACAAGGGGGCATGCACTGAAATTCTATTCATAGTATCTAGGAAAACAGATCAGGCATATTTTACTAACAGTAAAACTCTTTCATAAATTTGACATCATTCACTATTGTACCATACAGCTACACTTGAGCCTCACAAAATAAATCAGTGGTGTGTATGTTCTTAAAGTTCTTCTGCAAGAGATTCAAGGCTGCAGTTTGGAACCCACTGGTTCCGATATACCCTTGCCAAATGTCAAGTTGGCAAAATGTGGGATGCGGAACTTACCACAAAGTGGGAGGCAGCACTATTGTAATGAGATGACTAAATCATGCGCAGAGCTGAATGTATGTGAGTAATGGTTAGACTGGGGGAAAGGAGAGGCAGTGGAGGCAGTGGAAGTCAGGAACATGCTTCCAAAAATGAAACATACATACATACATATGCCAAATGCTAGTTCCTACTTCATATGTTGTAATAGTTCCTGCATAGCACATTTTCAGTGCCAGCCAGAAATCTCCCCATGCTTCCAGGATGCAAATTGTATGCATTAGTGAGGATACAAGAAGCTCTCCAATATTTGCACCCAATGCCTTTGCTACTGTATATCTTATTTAACTGGATACCATCATTATTAAATCCAGGGGCTTATAACAGCAAAACATGCACTGAGCTATAGCTATGAGATGCTAGACTACCTTACATGTTATGATATAACAAATCAGATATCACAAGAAAGAGGCTCCAAATCCTAAACGTGTAACAATAGAAAAGAAAGTGCAATTAGCTCTGAGTATGGCACAAATGCTGCCAGCTCCTTATTATAGATATTTTGCTTGTAGGGACTGGCAAGGATACTGCTCTGCTGCTAATTTGGAATGTAAGAAGCAGCCCTGAGATGATACGTGCCTCAGAACAAATGTATTAAGTCTCTAAAACCAGTGATCATGTTAGCGTTTAACTCATTAACTTTATTCCAGCATTTATCTCCTCTGCATATTGCCACTGCATGTTGAACTGTCACCAGCCTGCCGAGAAGGAAGCCCATTAGATATATGAGGTCATGGTTACATGTGCCCTTCACACTCTCCTAGCATGAATGCTCATGCACATTAATACGGCATCACTGGGAACTATATATTACAATTTCTGAACTGGTGTCTCACCACACCTTCTCGGAAAACTTTTAATAAGGACTTCACTTTGGTAAAGGATCAGTGGCTAAACTGCAAGCTTTCACTGCTTTCTCTTTCCCTTCCATAGGAGCAATGGCTTCCAGGCAGCAGGGCTTCATGGGGTGCATCCGTGCTCTTCATCTAAATGGGCAGAAACTCGACCTTGAAGAAAGGGCCAAGGTGACCCCTGGTGTCAAGCCCGGGTGCCCTGGTCACTGCAGCAGTTATGGGAGCCTCTGCCACAATGGAGGGAAATGTGTGGAGAAATTCAATGGCTACTTATGTGATTGCACCAATTCTCCTTATGAAGGACCATTCTGTAAAGAAGGTAGGGGCATGTGATGAAATCACGGGGTTTTTTTCCTCTCCGCAACCGTAAAGTTGCTCAGAATGCATCAATGGATGGAAGCTGTTACCATACCATGGAGAAAATGTTGATTTCCAATTAATAAAACCTCTTGGCAGAATTTGCATAATTAAAAATTCCGATATAATTGTTTAATTTTGTGATGCTTATATACAACTCAATTGCTGTCAAGTAGATTAAAATATATGGTATCAATTTCTGGAATGCACATTTGATGTTTGGAACCAATATGGAAAATGAATAGTTATTCTCCAGAATATGAGTCAATGGCCCTACAAATAACATGACCCCCCTTAATTTAAAACTTTAAAGGTCAAAAACATCACTATTTAGAGGACCTGAAAAAGTGCCTCTGATCAGTGTAGCTAGTGGAGAATTAGTGTAATGTAAACCTACTGTTTAGCTCCAACTCAAGTGTCATATTCTGCACCAGTGGAAGCTTCTGAACTTCTTCTGAGCTTCTAAGGTGGTCCCATGTAGAGTACATTGCAGTAGTCCAGTTTGGATGTAACTAGAACAAGTTTAAACCAACTCTGCTCTGCCTTCTCTAGAAAGTATTGTTGTTGGCATACCAATCAAATTTAGTAAAACCACTGCTGGCTACTGTGGCTACCTGCACTTCCAAAGACAGATTGCATCCAGAAGCTACAAACAAGTCCTCCAGGGGGTGTGCAGCCCTGTACAACATCTCCTGAAACCCTCTACCCAGTCTGAGAAATTTTCCTACGCACATAATTAAGCAGACAACTTCACATGACATGAGAAGCCGCAACGAAATCTTACTGCTGTCGGTCTGTTGTGTGATTTGGACCCAGGTGCAAAGTTCCAGTGTGATAGAATTAATTTTCTGAAACCCTGGAGAGAATGAGTGGTCTGTTCTGAGGTTTCTGTGCTTTCTATGTGGCTTGCCTGGTCACCTGGACCTGATCCCACCATTTTACCATTATTGGTATGGAAAAACCATGCAGGGGCCTGGAAGTGGCCACTGCTAGCCTTCAATCTCTACGACCCGCAGCCCCCAAGCAACAGATGTGTCATTGCTTGCTTTATTCCCATTGGTGATGTGTCTGCTTCTCTGTTTACTTTTGGAACTGGAAGTTAGTGTGAAACTATACCAAGGGGGATAGGGGAGAATCACAACATAGCCATGTATTTGTAGTGTTTAGAGTGGTTGGGAAGTGCTGCAAATACATTTGGAAGGCAGAATGGAGGAACCTGCCACAGGACTGCAGCAGAAAAAAACAGGAAGAGGCTCCTGTACTCCATAGGCAAGGCTAGGGAAGGATTAGGGATTTCATTCACAGGGGCTGCCAGGGTGCTTGGGAGGATGGAATGGGCAGTGCAGAAATGGTGCTGCTGGAGTGACCAAGTGGGCATCTAACCAGTAAGTTCAGGGGTGAAGAAATCTGCATTTCATGGTAATAGTGCAGGTAGTTTGCTGTGCTGCATGAAAGCAGCAGGTCTCTCAACTAAATTAAGCTCTTGCTTGGTAACCATCATTTATGCCAAAGGCAGTTTCTAGCCACTTTTCAGGAGCTAAACAGAAGCTGAAGGTCCTTCTCTGAGAATTCTCCTTGAAAGTTGTATCTCCTTGATTATGAAACTTGCTCCCCAGAGAGGTTTGTCTGGCCCCAGACGAACGTTTTATTCATTCCAGTGCCAGGCAAACTCTTTTTATTTACCCAGTTTTTTAAAATTGTTAGGTAATATATTTTAATCATTGTATTTTATACAATGTCACTTTGGGTTTTTACTTGCTATGACTTTTTAACCTTTTTGTAAATGATTTGGAGATTCTTTGGAATATAATGATGATAATGTAGAAAGAAAGAAATAAACAAACTCCGTATTATCCACTTATTGGTGGCACTGTAGCCTAAACAGATGAATAAATTCTACCAGCTTTGTACATAGAATTTAAACAGAATGGGGGACATTAGTGATCCATGCAAGAGTCAGAGGGCTTTGTGAATGGAAGAATCTCAGCATCACCTTTTGGAACTAATCTGCCACGTATGATTGGAGCCACAATGCCCAACCTAATTAAATAATCCAGAAGGACACTGTGCTCAAAGTTCTGAAAACTTCTGAGAGGTCCAGGGGAACTAACATGATTGCACTCGTTCCTGTCCATTTTCTGGTGTAAACTGCACACCAGAGTAATTAAAGTTGTTTCATTACCTGAGTCAGGCTTCATCCAGGATTGAAATGGATTCATACAATCGGTATCCTCCAGGACTCTCTGGTTTTGAGAAGTGGTCACCTGTTCCAGAACCTTGGTCAGTAACTGGATGTTAAACATAGGGTAATATAGATCACAGAATATAGAGGCTGGATTTGACTTCGCTTCTTCAAGAAAAGCTTAATCACCAACTCTGTTAGAATGGTAGATCCCTTCCCACACTTCTGGTCCAGAGATGCTGTTCCATGTCCTCAAATTGTACAAACCGAACAGCATCCATTACAGCAGAACCTAGCTCTACCCTTCTTTAAGCAAATGTGTGGTTCCCATGACAGCATGGATGCAAGTGATTCAGAGGCAAACAGTGATGTGATTAAGTCACAAAATTTCTACATCTTGGGCCTACAATCTACATTAAGCAGGCCTCTCATCACCTGTACTAGATGGCATGGTAGAGGTGGTGGGAAAGCAATATTTCTTCACCATCATCATTGCCACACAGTAGGACTGAAAGTAAGCTCTCATTTGTGATAAATCATATTTGTGCTGAGATTTTTGCCACTTGTGCTTGTTGACCCAAGCATTTTATTGTTTTCATCTTGGAATACCAAAGTGCTGACTTAGCTCTACAGTTTGGTCAAGGATATTTGGGAGCAGATACATTGATCACTCAGCTCATCCCCCCATTCCATCCACTGATCATGGCCTCAGCAAAACAGTGAAAACTCCAAGGCACCCCCTGAGAGAAAACAGAAAACCATCTGGATTCATCAATCTTTGGGACAGTCCCTCTGCCCTTGCAGTATTCGCAAGCATCCTGAAAGGCCAAGCCAACTAAATTATTATTCCATGACAAAGAAATAATAACTGGCTCCATCCATGATCATTTTCCTCTTATTCCATTATATAATGCCAGTTTCAAGTATGCCATGCTGTTGTGGTATAAACTTCCAAGAAAAACAGCCATTTTAGCACTTAGAGGAAGGAAAAGTGGAGCCTCGCTCCATCTTTTTTATAGCACAAGCCTTGCAGAGTCTCACGCAGTTCTTCAGAATTTTTTCTTATATATTGTAATATTAAATAACCTGTTGTAAGGGTACTTGAATGTGTGTTGCCTGTAGAGAAGATCCTAAGAGTGATTCATAAGCTTCAAGCAGGTTACTCTCCTCATCCATATTAGCCATTTCTTTGAAAGGGGCCCACAGAAATACTGACAATTTCAACTGTAGAAAAAGATGTTGTACAGATGCCAGGTCTATCTGTTAAGAAACAACAGATGAATTGACCTGGTATACAAATTTCTCAGAGGTAACACCTACCAATCATGATACCCCAGAGTCCAAACTTTGTCCATGCCAAGTCTACCAAACATGGTGGACCTATTCTGTGATGCTATCAGAGCTTTTTCCAAATGTGCAAGCATATGCAAACTATTCATTTTCAAGAAAAATGTGCCATTCCAAATGGATATTGCCAAAGTTTAGAATTCAAGCAATGGAAAATCTGTATAGTTGATTGATGTAAAAAGTGCCTGAAAGCTATATATAAATGCATACATATATACTTACATACATGAGCTGTTTCTAAACCCTGATTAGGTATTTCTTCTCCCACTGCTAACACATTCCCCTAAGGACTTTACTGCTTTCTAGACCAGGGGTCCACAAACTTTTTGACCAGGGGGTCAGGCAGGACCGGCGCATGCGGGAGCGCGCACTGAGGTGGGGGCAGGGCTTGCGGCGAGGTACAGGCAGGCACACATGGCAAGGGGAGGCGAGGCGAGGCGAGACAGGGATGGGCATGCACCGCAAGTCAGGCGCATGAGGCAGCAGCTTGCTCGCTTGGAGATCGTTTTCTCCGAGCGAGCAAACCTGCATGTGGGGTGAGGTGGGTGGCGTCAGGCATGCATGTGGGCACGAGCACACATGCAGTGGGTCCAAATGGGCATGGCAGGCTGGATCCGGCCCTCGGGCCATCGTTTGAGGACCCATGTTCTAGACTTTACTACTTTTCCCTAAGGATCTCACTACTCTCTTGTTTTTTTCATGCTGGTGTTCTACAGATGTTTCCCATGAACCAATGTTGAGAGCCTTAATCCAAAACATCTGCAGGGTACTAGGTTGAGGAAGATTGTTTTATCTAAAGATAAAGGAAATCTTTCCAGGGGAAGTCATATGAAGCTGTCAGTATTACGAGAAGGGCAGTGATGCCAAGATCCAATATGACATTTGCAAGACAGCTGTACTATGTACATTTTGATTCTCTCTCTCTCTTGCTCCTGGGGAGTTTTCATTTACCCTCCAAATAAAATTTCCTTAGCAGTCATGATGTTCCTTGAATATAACACTCCTCTGTATAAGTGCTATTCAGTTTCCAGGAATTTGTAATACTTCGTGTGGGTTTATACAAAGCTCACACAGAAAGTGCACAGTGTGCACCGCAATGGCATGTGCTATATGAGAGCATTAACCATGGTAAACTGCTGTGCAGCTTCCTCCCCCATAAGGTGCCTGACATTGTGTGAAACACAGACAGATCTGATCTCATCAAGTCTGTACATCTTTAAGTCTAGCCTGTCCTGGGTGATACACAATGGTGAACACAGTTGCTGCAAAACCTTCAAAAAAAAGAAAGAAGCAGTGCTACTTAGATATGTGGGGAGAATGTGGGGTCTGCTTATATAACTTGCGAGCATGCATTGTTTGAAGCTCTTAATGTGAACATGAACATGACCACCAAAAATATCTGCAAATACACAGGCTTGTATTTGCCTTGTTTCCAGGTCCTAGTTCAATTTGTCTTAATTTATTCAGTAGACCAAACCAGGTTTGCTTTAGCCACTTGAAGAAATTTGCATGTTGGGAGATGGGTGCAGATTTGTAGAGATTTGTGCTAATTATTCATTCAGTCATGGTCTATTTTGTGCTAATTTCATTTTTGGGCAGAGCATGCCAAAACAGGAATTGCTCACAAAGTAAATTGTGAAGTGAAAGTCAAAGAATCCAAATGTAATCAAACATTGTTCTTTTAACCATCCCTAGTGCTACTTCTACTTGAGTCCCACCCCATGAAAATCAAGACTTTTTCTTCTTTTGTTAAATATCACAACTGTTGAGGATAATTTAGAAAGGCTAATGCTGTGCAACTCTAGAAATAAGAAATATTTATACAAATACTTAATCTTGTTGCATGTTCTTTATTGAGGAAAACATGTCTCTTGCCTCATCTAGCTTCCTAAGATATTATTATTATTATTATTATTATTATTATTATTATTATTATAACATTTCTATGCCGCCCCTTGCCAAAACCTCGGGGCGGCTTACAACATGATAAAATACATTGAAATACAATAGTACATAATAAATTACCAATAAATACAAAAATACAAAAAATACATTGATTTACAAATATAAAATTAAAATTATCAGTATAAAATAAAAATATAGGAGGAGAAAGAGAAGGAAGAAGAAGTTGCCCTGGCCAGATCATATGTTTTAACAATTGAAATGATGTCTAAATAAAAAGGTCTTTACCTGGCGCCGAAAAACCAGTAACGACGGTGCCAGGCGGACCTCTTTGGGGAGTGAATTCCATAGGTTGGGCGCCACCGCAGAGAAAGCCCTCCTCCGGGTACTTACTCTCCTAATTTCTTTCATGGAGGGTTCCCGGAGAAGGGACTCTCCCGCAGATCTCAAAGGGCGGTCAGGCATATACGGACGTAAGCGCTCGTTCAGGTAGCCAGGACCCAAGCCGTTTAGGGCTTTATAGGTCATAATCAACACCTTGAATTGGGCCCGGGCTTCAATGGGAAGCCAGTGAAGCTGACGGAGGACTGGAGTCATGTGAGCATAACACCCCGTCCCCGTCAGCAACCTGGCAGCTCTATTTTGCACCAATTGAAGTGTATACAGTAATTTGCAGGGCAATAAATTATTAAATTCCAGAGTCCCAAAGTGAATAGGAGAAGCTACACAGTCTGTTCCAGTCCTAAAGTTTCAGACTTGGGTCACAGGTGAATTATTTGGAATGTTTAAAATCCCATGCTTCATAGAATTTGTGACTTTGTCAGACCATTCCATCAGGCTCTAATGATTTGCCAAGCTCCAACAGGACAACTCTGTGAGTCAGAGATTCATCTTATCATTCACCTTGGGAGCAGCCTATGAAATCAATATTCATTATTCAGGTAATTGTAAGTAAAATGAGATAGGGAAAAATGGAAAATGGTTTTCTGCAGACTGAAGACAATGGGTCTTTAGCCATTTCTCAACAGATGTTACCTCTACACAGATTGGGTGAAGAACACGTGCTTCAGATGCATAGTTCTTTTGGGAATGGCCTAATAATCCCCTGTAATCTTCCTCTATCTTAAAATCACAGCCAGGATCTGTTTGCACATTTCAGTTCAAGTTGTTACTCTTGCATACAAATACCATGCTTGCAGACAAGGAAGAGGGGGGCAAGAACTATTTGTTGTAAACCTGCAGTGGTTTTGGTGAATTCATTGGAATTCACTGTTTCAAATAGTTGGCTGTGTTTCAAATAAAGTACTCAAATCCTGTCTCAAAAGCAAAGATGGAACAATATGTCTATATGTGATAGAAAGAAAGAATTAGGTTAGGCTGTTATCTGTAACTTGTAACTGTCAATCAAAAGCGAAACAAGTAACATTTATTGAAATGAGTCACATGAGCAAATATTTTATTTTCACAGCAGTGGCCACTGTTGCAATCTGGATTTTACTACTCTGAGGAGAGACCTTTGGACTGCCATGGGCATGCAAAGATCATGTCTTGTTGCTTCTTTCAGTGTTTTTGCCAATGGATACTTTATGCTGCTTTTAAATATTTAAAAATGTTGTATCTCATTCTCAGTCATTCAAAGAAGGAGGCTTCTAGATAATATTTTTATCAGCCTTTGCTGAAAAGTACTATCAGCTGGGAGTCTGTCCTCATTCAAGAACCCACCTGCTCAGTGCCCATTTCATTCTGACTCATTTCCTGCAGTGAAACTGGTCCCTCCATTTCACCATCTCCCCCTTCAGGCCAGGCTGGTTGTTTTCCCATGGGACAGCAACGGGATAGCACATGGGACAGCAACGGCTTTCCCGCACGTTCACTATAACATTCCATGTTGGCATAGGGTTGCCTAGTGCCATATTGTTCTTCATTTTGGATCAGATGTCTCTTTTAATCTGGTTTGGCATTCAAGAAACTAATGGCAAATAAGGCAAAGTTCCATAAAATGTATCTATAGAGGAGATATGCCTTTGGTCTAGTCCAGAAGAGCCTTTCTTATATACTTTTTTGTTCTGTTGTATTTTTAGACGTCTCTGCACTTTTTGAAGCTGGCACGTCCATTACCTACATTTTCCAGGAGCCTTATCCTGTAACCAAAAATGCAAGCTCTCCCTCCTCTGCCATATATGCTGACACCTCTCCATCCAAGGAAAACATTGCCTTTACCTTCCTGACAGCACACGCTCCAAGCCTCTTGTTCTACCTCAATGTCTCCTCGCATGACTATTTGGCTGTTATTCTCTCCAAGAATGGTAAGCATGGATGCAATGCAGTTTCACTAGAACTTTGTAGAAACAGGATATTGCATGCAGGAGGAGACAGTCCTCAGCTCTTATCGGCTCTTTTATGAATCAGCTTCGGTACACTGTAATTACGTGACTGATCTGTTTTACTTTCCGCCCTTTGATTCTGCATTCAGCTCCATCCATTCATGACATTCCCTGAATGACCTGACTGCCAAAATTGTAGGGTGTTTGCTCTACTACTAGGCATGCTCTTGTGTTTGGGTGAGGACTGGACTGAATCACCTCTCTGAGGCCCTTTACAGCCCAGGATCCATTGCCTGTTAAGATTTCTTAAGTGGAGATTTCTCTAATGTGGATACCTTGAGAAGATATGAAACAACAGTTGATAGGCAGTCTGGTCTGGTTCAAATGCAAGCTAGAATGGCCACAAGGAGACAGAGGTTTAGGGTGGACATGACTCACTTTTGTTTCCCATTAGATTAGGGTGAATGAGGGGTGAATGAGGTCCATGTGTGTAGCAGGAAGTCAGTGTGTGTTGGAACTGGATCTGAAAAGGAAGCAAGGATTTCTCTACAGGAAGGTCTCAGCACTGTCAGGATACCTTGGGCCAGCCCCATTTTCCTGCCCTCCCCACTCTCCCGGCCTTCACTGATGGATCCTTTCCAACTTCATTGAAGCAGCTGGCTTGTTTCTTTCCTTGTTGACTGTGAGGAAGAAGGAATCTCCAAGGTAGGACCTACATTTTTGACTTTGTATCTGGGAAACTGAAGAATCCTATGTCTCCCAAGAAGTTGTTTAGGGGCCATCACTTGCTAATCCAATTTCATGAAGTTTCCAGATGTACAGTGTTCATCACATATCTGAGTACACAAGAAGAAGATTAATAAATATGTATTCATTTATTTTAAATTAGTTGACGTCTCACATTCCTGTCTAGCTACCTTTTAAAGTTCACTTGAATTCATCACTGTCTGAATTTATTCTCTGTTTTAAACTAAATAGGGTAACTTGGTCTTGTCCTTCTATCTCCATGGAGTTTCATACTTGCCATGGTGTTTGATATCCATGAAAAAATATTGACTATCCATAGAATTCCTGAACAGCTTGTGTGCATGTTTGCATTTCTGCCTCCCCCACCAAAACTGTTGTCCTCTCCCACATTAGGGCAAAAGATTACAAATGGAGCTGCTGATCCTAGAAAGTTCAGTGACAATTGCATTCCAACCACAAAGACCAGTGTGAAACTAGAAACTTTCTCTTCCCTTTGCAGTGAGTCTGGAGAATTCCTCTTCACTGTAGAGGTAAAATTAAATAATGTGCCTTCATCTCTATAGTTGATGAAGGAGTTTATTTGAATTTGGATTTTCTGCAGAGGTGGCAGTTTATCAGTTTCATCACAGTTATTTCCAGAATTTTCAAAGAAGCCTTAAGGAAAATCTTGCACATTATCTAGCCCAGAATGAACAGGCTCCATAAGAGACTCCTTTCACTGCAGAGATGAATTTAAGGAGTTTCAAACCTTTGGCAGTTTCCCTCTCTCTGTCCCTCTCGCATGCACACCCTTACAGGGAAGACTGCTGCAGGGAAAGTACATTGGTGTCATAACTGCTGTTTGCGGCGTTCGTGTCCAACCTCCCAAGCTGTTTTCTCTCTCTGCGTTGTATGCACAACATTTTGTGCTGTTCTTCTCCAGTAATATTTTCCTCCAAAAGAACTAAATGAGTGAGACTTCAAGAAGTCCAGCTTATTTGACTGCACAGGCACAACAGCAGTATGTGGCTCCCTGGAACACAGCACTGATATTTCTCTAGAGATAAATAAAATGCAGGACGAGTGCAGGGAATATCTCTAACTCTCTTCACCCTTCTTTGTTCCTCTAGGCTAGTTGGCCTCCTCTCAATATATAGGAAGAAATTAATTCTCCCAGCAACAATGTTTTGTATCTTCTTGTCATGCAATGTGCTGGGGGATGGGGGGACTTCAATAGGCAATTAAGACCCGTTAACTTTACAAAAGTCCTGCTGCTAGTGGAGATGAAAAGTGCTGGTTTGTTAATGTAGATCAAGTGAGCTTTGCCTGAATTTGTGGACTTTCCTTTGGAGTACTGACAAAGGGACCATCATGATGAGGGCCTGCATTTGAAAATTTATGATTATATTACTGGCTGTGTTCTTCTGTTTCTCCCTGGAACTCAAGTGCTGCCCATGCAATCTCCAAGCCAGGCAGTGTTTAGGGGCTGCCTTACTCAGCTGTAGCAATGAAACTGCCATCAAAAGCATTCAGACCATTCGTAGGCCCCAGTAAACTAGACTTTATTGAATATTACAAGCTGCAGTGACTAGGGAACACATATTAGGTCTGTGCAGAATATTTGCTAAATACACCTCAAACCTAATGGGTAAAACATAACTGGATAGGTGATGTATTTTCTCAGGCCTTATAAGCTTGCCACACTGGTCGGACTTGTACCCAATCTGGATGTTCAGTGGCCTTTCCAGAAAGAAAATGGTGTAGCACTAATGTACAGTATTTGTAATCAGGTTTGTAATTAGCCAACTGTCCCTTTACCTTCATTTCCAGGTGAGGTTATAAACACAAGCCTTGTGCATGGTGTTCCCCTTTGTTGACGCATCTTGGCCTTGAAGGCAGTTATTGCCTTTCCATTTTATTCATTTATTTTGTGTACAGCAGCTCTATTGCAGGCTTTTAGGGACAAAGTATGCAGCGCTGAAACAAGTACATTTCCTTTTCCATGGAGCTGCTCTAGCATTTCCACTCTGCAGATGAGACGGCACTGAGATGTCACTAGTGCAGCTGGAAAAGTTCCGAATCCTCACACATGACTTAGAACACATCATATGAGATAATTAGAATAGCTGCAGCAGCTTTCTGGGGTCAAGGCTCTTGATGACATGCCATTTGGTAATTCCACCATATAAATGTTCTTAAGAATCTTATTTGGAGGGCTTGCAAAAGTCAGGCAAACCTTTTTGTCAGTAAATGGGTCATTTCAACAGTAAAATTCAACATATTCAGCCTATGCTGCAAATATTCAGACAAGTTCAGCTTGAAAAAAAAATTCAAAGTCACTTTTAGAGTCACTATCACAGTGTAAGTTGCACTGTCAACATTTCTTCCACAAAATGTCTGTCATTTCCTCATGGCTTTATCTGTTTTATGCTTGCACTATTTTTCCCTAAGTCTCAAGCTGAAGTTATTTAAATGAAGAATAGCCTTCTGGTACACTGCTTTCCCCTTATGCTGCCAGTTTATGCTTGCTGTTATGATACAAAGAAGACTATGAATAGATATATATATAGTAGTGTTAAAGGTGTTGATGAAAGTTCTTACTAGTTCATCTAGGATATCTGCAGATGATTGTAGTGTTCCACGGAAACTACATGGCTTGGTCCTCATTTGTTATAGACTTTGTGTGTGTGGTAGGGGGGTGCCTGAGTAGCAATGGAGGAGCAAAGATAAAAGTCATGCAGCTCTGTTTTATTATTGTTAGAAAGCTTCTCAGTGGAAGGGTGCTTTTCCAGGAAAATAATCTTGCTTTCTGTTAGTCCTACACTGATGTCAACCATATCCATCCAGCACTAACCCGTCCTCACATAACAGAATGGTTGAAGAGGTAAAATGGAATAGCCTTGGTACACATGTGATATTCATTCATTTTGTTTGGTGAGTACACAATGGATAAACAGGATGAAGGAGGCAGAGGTAGGCTCACACTATGAAATATTGGGAGAGTTTCAAAATATAGCCAATTTTCAACCTAAATTCAATGTATCATCTCATTCAGCTGACACTCGAAGTAGGGGAGAGAGATGGTTTTTCCATAAGCCCAATTTTGACACACCCCTGTCTAGTCCAGCTCAGTCTAAATCCTTCTAAAATAGAGGACAACATTAGTAAAGCATAAATATATGTTTCACAACATAATTAGGCTGCAATCTAATGAGGCTGCCTACAACTTTCCAAACTCCCATGGCCTTTGTCTCTGTGCTTCTCCCACCCTGCAAAGCAGTTAGATAGCCAATTCCAACTGTCTCACAGCCTCTTTAGTGAAGGAAGCTGAGGTGCCAACCAGATACATTGAAACTTGGTGATGCTGGTTCTCAAAATGACCCTGGAGAAGCAACAGCATGGCTATTTTCATGCTGACTATGAGGGAGATCCAAGCTCTGGATCCCTAACTCCGAGGTTGAAGTGAACTTCTAGCCTTCCAATCTGAATGCTCCCTTGTGCTCCAGACGTTGCCTAGGGGCAATAGATGCTTTACCCAGGATACAAGTATTTAGGCTATGGAAAGAGAAACTGAACTCTGTTTGTTGGAAGAGTGCCATTGTTTGTGTTTGTCTGATGAAACAAATATTAATATGAGTATTGGCCAGAAATCCTTTAGCTGGCAACATTGCAAAAGAAGAGGGCCATTCACAGGGATAACCATCCAGTTTGCAATGTTGATCAGATACTTCATTCATTCATTCATTCATTCATTCATTCATTCATTCATTCAAATGCAACTCACATTTCTGAAATCTCCAGGTGCTTAACTGCCAATATTTTAAAGCAATTAACAACAGAGAATAGGAAATCTAAATGCTGCACATCCACATCCCTCCTTAAGCATGAATGGGAATGTGTATCCTGTCCCAGCTTGGTGCCCTCCAGATATTTTGGAAAGCCACACCCAGGATTGCCTGGGCTGATGAAATTTGTTGTGAAAAACCTCTGGAGGACACCAGATTGTGGGATTGGCTTCCTTCCCCCTTCATTTTACTGGCTGAATGTAACTGCCTTTGGATCGGGGCCAGTGCATTGTGACAACTGCTCACCTATCAAAACCAATAGTCATGATAGCATTCAGAATGGAAAGGTATACACCAGGGCTGTCCAATCTTTTGGTTCCTCTGGGTTACATTGGAAGAAGAATTGTCTTCATTAAATACACAAAGGAAAACGATGAGCAAAAAAAGGGGGGCTATGCATAATTTTTGTGA